TAATCAAATATTCTTCATTCCACAGCAGAAAGTTTGTAGCTTTGAGGTCTGGATTATGGGTGTCCGAATTAACGACTTTTGACTGTACTAAAAATAGAACCACACGAAACACACGTGAACAATTCTTAACTGTTACTAATTTAATAAAAGAAAATACAAGTATAATGTTCTATGAATAAAATAACAGTTACGGTAAAGAAAAATTTTTAAATATACATTACATCTTAATTCTATATAATTATTCTTTTGTTTTTCACTTGCACTTGACATTAGTTGATGGCAACTGATTCAAGTCAGAAATATTGTTCCTTATAAAAAAATACACACATAAATGTTATTTATATAGAAAAATTTATGTACTCTTCTATTATCGGGACTGGATTTGGAAATGTGTGTATGCACTTTTATACGTGTGTTTATACACAAACATACATGCCATACGTACATATATGCATATGTGAACGCATTCATCCATACACACATTTCTGAATTCGGTCCTGATAACAGAAGTGTACCAAATTTTGCCACATTTGTTAAATGAATAGTGTAAGGTAGAATGGTTCTGGTTTATTTGATTACGGCAAAGCCCGCTCAAGCTACCTAAGGGTATAGATGATGTCCTTGCGTAGTACTTTCCATTGAAAACTGGCACATATTCATATTACATGTGTATACTCAGCTATGAAATATGCATCAAGAAACTGAAATTGTCAACAGTAATTTAATATACTTTATTTTGTGTTACATATGAATGGTACATTGTTTTTGGACAAAGCTATATGAAGTGAAGCATACATAATCAACCTCATTCAAATACTAAATATTTAAGTATTCTCTGATTATCCAACCCCTAGTTTCAGCATTTTATAAAAGTGGCAGGTTTTTCTTTTTTTTATGCATTTTGGGAACAAATGCGACCAAAGGCAGCATATACAAATGGATTTACATATTTTATAGTTAAACGTCATTTCACTGAGAAATACTTTTTTTATCATAATGAATTACAATAGAATTCTAGAGTCTATGTACTTATAAGAAAGAAAGCATTGGATTTCTTTACAAATACAATGTTTTCCCTAAGAACAAAGAATAAAAAATTTGGGTACTTTTCCGTTTTGCCGGCGCAGGCGATAAGGTCGCCAGTAATGGTACAACCAATGCCAAATGAAATATCCTTGCTGGTAACCTTTTACATCTCATTTTCAAAAGAAGTCACAGCATTTCTTATCAGATTGATTGTTCCTTTCAATACTGGCATACAATTACATAGAATTTTTACCAGATAGTTCAATTTTATGCCCTAAGGTGATTCGCGAGCATTTGGTTTGGTTTATTAGATTACGGCAAAGCACTCGAGGGCTATATGCCTTAAGGGAGGGATGCCTTTGTGGAGGACTTTATAAGGGAAACTGGCTCGTATACAAGTTACACATGGGGAAAACCACGAAAACACCCATGCAGCCAGCCCGTTCACAAGATTCGAACCTCGGACATAACTACCAGTGTTCAGCGGCGTTACCGCTCGGCCGCTGGTGGTAATTATGTGAATTAGGATGCTATCATACCGCTCACCCGATGGCAAAAATATAGGAAAGTCAAAGGTTAAATTCATTAATTCTAATCAGAATGCACTAGCAAAGTAAAGCACTGTGGTTTTACATAATTTCTGATTAAGCTATTGAAATCGTACAAACTGAAATAATTCTTGCATTTAAACTTGTATTCCAAATTAAGATTTAACTTGAAATTAATGTAGATAATTACTGAGAGAATTGAATTTTTGTAGTGTACTTTACGTGAAATGAGATCACTTGGGGTCATGTGATGTGAACCGGCGAATCAGGATGTTTTACCACGAAAGCATAGTAAATTCTTAAATTAATGTCTTTTTGGAAATTTATTGGCTTTTTTACAAAATTTTAAATGACATTTAAATGTTTATACCTTTAAAATAAAAAATTCTTAGAACTAACATTTGTCTATATTTTTTATGTATATACTGTGTGTTCTCGCCAATAAAGTCTGCTTGGCGAGATTTGCGCTGGCGAAACGGAAAAGTACCAAAATTTGCATTCTATGAAATTGAACTTTTTAAATGATAAAATTTTAAAATCTACAATCTGAATATTAAAATATGGTTGGAAAATTACCATAAAATTTCTTGTTTCTACCAAAATGCTTTTAATATTCTGCGATGGAATGGGATAGTTCTTATGAAAATTATAGGTATTATGGTACTGGAAATGGCTTCTTGTTTGCTTAAGAATTATAACCAGATAGTGAAGCTCTTACAAGAAATTTTATCTGATTAATATAATTTATGCCTTTTTTATAATGAAATGGCTGTTGTATATAATGATTGTAGTTGTTTAAGAGGTATGTTATATTTTCCCATGAAACCATTATGGCATACTAAAATTCATTTGATAAGTTTAATTTATTTTTGGTTGTTGGATATTATATTTCTATGCAAATACATTATGGTATATTGATGATTATCGTCAAACTCCTAATATTTTTACTCTACTTTCGACCATTTTTGGCTAACAAAAACTGATAACAATGTACATTAGCCCCAATAATGGATAAGCATGATATCAAAACGTACTCATAAATTCTCGGTGGTTTCATATAACACTGAGAAATCCTTAATAAACCACTTTTATCTGTTGATTATCTAACCAAATAAATAGCATCTGTTCCTCCCAAATTTCCACATATAATTTTTCAAGTTTTTTTTTTATATGCTATATCTCTATAGTTTCTGTTGATCATGTAACTTAAAAAGAAATATCTGTTACAATAATTTTTGAAAGGACAATATTTCCATCAATCTTCTTGACTGACAAGAAAAATATGTAGATAATGTGTGGAGTTATTATAGCATAGGGAAAAACATGACACCAATTTTACAACAAATCTGAAATTTTGTTTTGTGAGTCTTTGGTTAAACTAAATGCTATAATTTATTTAGGATGAAATAATTCTTTGGCATAATGTAATTCATATCATCTATGTTGCTACAATTCTGTTTCAATACAAGACCATCATATCAGTGTAAGATTTCCTATGTGGAGACTTGGTTTCTAATCTTTGTGTAATATAATACAGAGAAGCTCGTACTGTGAATTCGTAAGTATAATTTATTCTTCTATTAGATTGGAATGGACTCGGTGTTTTCATATAGAATGTTTCATATTCAAAGTGTTAGTTCGGTGTTTCATATTCAAAGATGTTGAAGTTCATACAATGTAATTAATTAATAGACTTATCACACAGACCTTTTTAATAGACTTATTCTTGAATTTTTGGCTCAGATATAAAGTTATTAATTAAAAACAGCATTAGAAAAGCAAAACTGATTAAAAGAACACTTCAGTTATTTTTAAAATTGATATATTTAAATGCTTTTGTTCATATAAAAACAACAATAAACACATTTCTAAATAATAAGATTATTAAGAATTATTAAGAAAATTTGGAACATTTATAAAGGTTTGCAAGGACAACATGATCGATTTTGTTATAAATCACATGGTTTTGACATGTTTTGAGTATGCTCCTGCCAGATTGGTAGAAGCCTGGTGATCCTGTTATGAACAAATCTTAACAGATAAAGATATAACATGTGAATATAAAATCTAAAGAAAAGGTAAGGTTAGATTAGGCTATTTGAATATGGCTAAGCACATTGGTTATCAGCCTGAAGAACTTTATACGGAAAACTGGTTCGTATTCATAAAAACACATGCAAAAAAAATAAAAACTGCACAGCCAGCTTGTTCACCAGGATTTGAGCTGAGATTAAACTACCAGTATTGAGTTGCTTAAACCACTTGTAGGACAAATCTAAAGAAAATGCTTGTAATATCATGTAATCAAAAGTTAACTACATGTTATATGCCAGAATTGCTTTCTCAAGTACTGAGGTAGGTAATACTTGATCTGCTTTTTTTTTTTTTTTTGAAATGTTTGGTCATGGTATTATTTATTGCATGTATTTTCTATAATACATACAGAATATTAATAGTTCTATAACAAGTGTCTTTTTTTCATTTTTAAGTGCTTTGCTTGTTGATATTCTCAAAATTGCATTTGATGATTAGTGCTATCATGTGTATAATAAATACAATAGATGCATATAATAGATCAATATATTTTTAGTATACATATAATGATTCAATATCATTTTTATGGGAAAAAAAGACACTTTTGACTGCACAGATTTTCTGGAAATCCCAAGTAAAACACATATGAAATCATTTGTTTACAATCAGTGAACGTTAAAATCAGCTACATGTCACAATACAATAAAACAGCGACACAATTTCCTACAACAGCCAGCAGTTCCTCCTTTACATGAACAAGAATTTTTTTTTAAAATTTTTATTTGTCCTTTTTGAACAATGAAATGTCCTTCGATTTCATGCGATCAGGACGCTATAGAACTTATCCTTAAATAGAAAGCCAAAACTTGTACATTGGATTTCAAGTAAAATTCCGAGCATTACCAAATGATCAGCTTTTTAAAATGCTCTCTGCTTCAGTAATACAGCGAGAATTTACGCCTCCTTGAACAAAATCAAACATTTCGGAAGAGCTAAGTAACTCCATTTTTGAATGTACGAAGCCAGATCACAAATCAAAATACCGAGTTTTATCCGCCATACTAATGTGTGAAAGCGACATCTATAGGTGAATTGAATCGCGGATAAACGGTTAAAGCCCGCCATTGGAGCCAAAAAAAAAACATCAATTTACGTTTTCGAAATATGGCACTTCATCAAGGATCAAGGAAGGATTCAATATTACAAGGCTCATAGGCTTAATGCCTTTATCTCCACATTATCAAAGATTAAATAATTATAAGAGAGCTTGGCAAAAGGACAGCTTTTCTAATAATTTGTCAAAATAACAAAAGGTAAATTCTCTTTATGACACCCAACTTAAATGGTTTCTGTTTCTAGTTTAGAGTCGTGATGGCAACATCATTTGCCCTCGTCAATGTTTACAGTAAGCTGCATGTGTTTTGAAATGCGGAGACTAGTGAGGTGAATTAAATTTCACATGTACGCATGCGAAGGACGCGAAATTTAATTTAATTTACAAGATAGACAATATTTTGTAATTGTTTACTATATTTAAAATGACAGAATTCAAACCTCTAGAAATATTTGAATATCCGCGTGTCGGTGCTAAAGCTACAGAAGATAATTTGTATTGGAAAAAATTAGGAGTAAATATTATTTATTAAATTGTATTGCTTTTACTTAATATTTGTATGCATTTGCTGTTCCTTCTTCTGTGTGGTATGAAAATTTGTCTTCTATGTCTTATAAAACTGCATGAAACTGTTTTCTCTTCTTCAGTTTCCATGTGCATTCAAAGAATATGGTGCTATAGATTTTATTGACTTCTGCACAGAAGAGCCTTACAATGTTGCTGTTACATGTTCTTCAAAAGTGAGTTTTATCAAAGTATCTGTTTGCACTTCATTTGCGATCTCTTGTACTACATCAATAGTATGCCTTATAATGTTAACTACAGTACAGCGTATATTTTAAAAGGCTTCTGCAATAATAGCCAAAAAAAGAAAAATAAGATGGTTTACTTGTTAGCTTTTACTTTGTGTATATAATGTATATAAACACTGCTTTGATTAATTTAATATATTACACTGCTTTGATTACATATAACTAACTTTTATTTCACTCTTCTTAAACTTAACTAGGCTGCAGAAGCAGCAGCTTTTTTATAATAAAAGTTAAGCAAAAATGCAGGCATGTATCGCATTAAGTAATTTTGAAAATTTATTAATTCTCAACAACAAGTTATCGGCCAATCAGCAGGAAACATGTCAGTTTCCCACCATTTGGCGTCTCAAAATTTTCAACCTTTTTTATGACCCCTTAGTATTCATTGTTTAATTTATACTTTACATGGAGGTAAGAAAGGAAGGAGTGGCCAAACCAACATTAGAAGTGAAGCACCTCTACGAAGCTTCGGTCACCAGATGGGGTATCTTTTGTTTACATTCAGAAGCTTGCTTGACAGCGCTCTGATAGTATTTTGAAATACGAAAATTCCATGCAAATTGAAAAACGGGACACTTTTGCATAAAAGAAAAATTCCTAGTGTGATAGATAATAGATGGGGTATCTTTTGTTTACATTCAGAAGCTTGCTTGACAGTGCTCTGATAGTATTTTGAAATACGAAAATTCCATGCAAATTGAAAAACGGGACACTTTTGCATAAAAGAAAAATTCCTAGTGTGATAGATAATAGCAATTTGTATAGTTTAGGGACATTTACGCAATAATCACATCTTGGTTATTTTTCGATAACTAACAACAGTGATTTTGATTATGAATTTGTTTTATAAAATTCTAAGCTGTTGAACTACAAAAATATAGATTTTAGCAAAAATGTTATGCTTAAAGAATGAAAAATACCTCACCGTACCTTTAAAATTGTATATATTTTCGATACCCTTGATACAGTATTCGCTACTTTTATGTTTCAAACACCAAAATGTTTTAAATAAAATAAAATTTTTTCACATACACATATTATTGTTGCGTGTACTTTTTAAAAATTAGTGTAAATTACTTTACCCGAAAAATATAGTGAATGCACAGCAATTAAAGATTTCCACATGCCGGAAATGAAAAATGGTATTTATGCATGTGCTTGCAAAAAGCATGTATCTGCATTTAACAAAATACTTAAATATGTATTAAATTATTTATAAATGTATTTGAAATGAAGAATTTATTTATTCATAAACAACTGTGAAAGTTACTGTGAAAAAATCTAATTATTAAATGTATCTAAATTTATAATGATTATAAATATTATCTAAATATATAATAACCTTAACATTGAATTGTAAACATAAATTGACATCTTGTTGACAAATACGTTATAAAACTAGTTAAGCAAGAATTATTCATACTGAAAAGCAATCTGTTAAAAGGTATTGTAAAGGAATTTTTATGAGATGCGTACTTAAAAAAGTAATAAAGAAGAGTTTTGGATGTGAATCTTCGGATTATTGTAACTTGGCAATTTTTTGACGAAAATTTGGCGACCAACCCTGCTACAGCAAACTGCGGGTTTTTTTTTTTTTTTTTTTTTGACGCCATTTTGTTTTCAGGAAGTAAAGGCATTTTTTTTTTTTGACGCCATTTTGTTTTCAGGAAGTAAAGGCATTTTTTTTTTACTCAACATTTTTTCCAATGATCTGCTAGCCAAATTTCGCTTATGCTAGAACTTTTGTGGAACAAAAGTGCTAAATCATGACAAAGATTACATGCGAAATTGATTCTAAGTGCTTATTAGCTAAAATAACGATTGAATTTTTCAGAAAGTCCATTTTCACCAGATTTCTTGCACCACCGTTCAAACTTATCAGTAATATCCTTCCTTTCACACAATCTCATTTCATTCCCACATGTTGGACATTCATACTTATCTGCAATTAATCCTACACTCATATACCATTCAAGGAACTCTTTTGGATGATCACATAAATGCAATAAAAATTTGGAATTTACTTTATAGAGGGACATGGGATCCAAATATTAAGCAACACTATTTCACACAAGATACAAGATGGAATGTACTTCTCAGATTATTGCTAAAGTCCTAGCTACTAATCTTTATCGCCTTACCAAAATGTCGCCAAACTACCTGTTACCATATTCTAAAGATTAGCCATTTTGGAATATATATTGTTGAAATTAAGTGTAAAAAAAGTCTGATATGTATAATTAAAAGAATTATTCCCCTTACATTTTATAATAACTCAGTTACAAGTTTTAAATAATATTTAAAAAATAATCCTTATTTTATTCTCTTGCAGAAATATTCAGAGAAAGTTAAGTACTATTTAAAGTATTTCGCTATTATTATAAAAGATGCTGTAATTTGAAGTGGACCAAACAGTGCATTAATTATAAATTTATTTATATTTTTCGATTTAAAAGATGCCTCAGAAGCTAAAAAATTATGTCATATTTGAGAAAGTATTTTAGGAAAAAGCTCTATAAATAGAAAAGAAATAATGCATAATTTTAATATTAATAATGCAATAAACTTTGATCTTAATTTTTGTAATCCTTAACCAATACTTAAGACTCTGAAATATTGTTGAAAAAGAAAATATATACATTTATATGCATATTTACCCCATAATTACAAAATATTTAATGGTAACTTAAACATTGAACTTAATGGTAAATTACCTAATGTTTTGGTCACCAATGAAGGGATCGAAAGTGCTTCAAAGCAGAGTATGGGGAAACCAGTTTAGGGCCACTCCATCAAACTTCCTACCTCCATGATATTTTAGGATGCTCCTTGGATTATCGCCAGGTTGTTGTTTTATTTCTTGCCAAACTGTTGTTTCATTTATGATAACCTGAGTAGTTGAATGTTGTGAAAACCCTATTATGACATGATTGGTTGCATGATTGCAGTGAATTTGACCTGAAGGGAAAATACTGGTTACTGGTGAATGAAGGTTTACTTAGTAGTCATCAGGGCTGTGGAGTCGAAATCGGTGTCTTGTAGGTTTGGGGGTAAAAGGAGTTGGAGTGGATAAAAACACATCGATTCCAACTCAGACTTCAATTTTTGTTGGACAGTTTGAATTTGAAATGAAATTAAAGTGAATTGAAAAAATGAAATTTAAGTGAATTGTAAAAAAATGTAATGACAGACTGAGTTAATATTTTATTTATGAACTATATACATTAGTAAATAGTTATTTTCTATTTTATTGACATATTAATAAATAAATATAAAGGAGCAGGATGGATGTGATATTTTTCCATTATTGATTCAACTGATTCATTTAGTTACAAATCTCATTGGTAATTTTAGGTGAGGAGCAATAGCAGCAAGAATTCTCAAAATTGATGCAATTCTTGGGAAGCGAGTAGGAAAAGGAGCTATTATTGATCGAGCAACGCGATGGAGAAGTACATATTTGATGATATGGTGGTTGTTAGAATTAAGAACTTTTTCAGAAGATGTAAATAACTCTGTTTCACTAACAGAAAGACTGTGGAACGATCTTGCAGGATCTTCTTTCAGCACCGTATATAACCACAAGAAAGCTACAATCTGAAGAAGGCAAGAATGTTAGAAGACAAAGAAAACCCTAATGTTTCACAACAGAAAGACTGTGGGATGATCTTTCGAAGAATTAACAGGAGGCGAGAATGGAAGAATGTGATGTTTGTTCTTTCTGAAATGGAGGGTTTATTGCAGAAGGAATCATTTCTTCAATGAAAAAAAGAGAAACTAGTTTGCTAGACAGTAAAATCTTGCTGGGTTCAATATATGTAGATTCAAAATGCAGAATTTTGTTGGATGACGAACAAATTAAAAAAGGCAAAGAAAGCCATGTGTGAACTTTGATTAAGAATAAAATTATTTTCAGAACAACTGCAGTATTCAAATCAGGACAGTCAAACTGCAGACATTGCAACTGAGTCTTTATCATCCTCTTCCACTGATGAATTAGATTTTTAGAAATATTTGGATAATATTGAAAAGGCTAAGGCAAAGCAAATGAAAATAAAGAACTAAGAGCCTTTAGATCTAAAAATGAAAAAATATAAACAAGATTTATACATCGCCTTTGAAGAAATAGAGAAATATGGTTGCTCTTGCAAGACACCTCTTTTAGAACTTATAAAAATCTATCCTGAAAAGTTAAAGGAAATAACCCTAACAGTAACAATTCTTCGTCAAGTCAAGTGTGGAATGACTCTTCTCAGTTCCGAAGTTTATCAAATTGGATCTGTAGTCCTCTAACAAAGAAAATCTTAATTCAGAAGTCAAACAACAAAAATCAGCGTTACATTTTCAAATTTTCTCAGTACTAGTTTCAATGGTTTAACGGAACCATCATCCTCAGCTTCAAAAACGAAAATGAACGAGATAAGGTATAATGATTAGACAAACAAAAGTTAGCTTCATTTTATTCCTATGTTTTCCGTGCTCTTCAAGTTTGCTCCTCCAAACTATCCCTTGATGAAGAACTAAATTATTTAAAAGCAATAGCCATTGACTGGAGCTTTTCACCCAACATTATTAATCAAGCAGTTAAAAAATTCTCATCACAATACACCGAAAGGCTTAATTTACATTGGCCAAACTAAGAGAGACGTAAAATTTCCTGTTAAAGAACATGAGGCATATGTTAGAAAAAAGGAAACAGAAGTCTTCTGTTGCCCAACATTGTTGGTCCGAAAATCACACTTTCAATTTTTCTGCTGCCAAAATTATTCAAAAAACTTCTTCCATTGCTGAACTGGATTTTCTAGAGGCATTTCACATTCAAAAAAGTCTTTCTGGTCTAATTAACGACCCTAATTCCAATCCATCTTTGCCTTCAGCCTTTAAAGAAATTATATTTTAGTTCTGGTTTCATCAACAGATGGTGCCAG